GTACACATCTATGCTCTTCCTGCTCCTCCGTGTTCCTGTTTGACTTAACACAGGGACAGACTATAATCTGGAACCGTAAGTGGAAAAGCTCTTTCTCCTCAAAGCTGCTTCTGTCAAGGTGTTTTGATCACAGCAACAGACAGGAAACTAGAATGCCGTGTAACAAAAGCACACAAAGTTCACTGCACAGAAGTCCTGAGGGAGGCCTGCCGCCGATCTGCACACCGTGTCCGAGGGATCTAATGGTAGAGTCACACCTCAATATGCACACGGCAAAATGAACTGTGGAAGAGGAAGCAGGACCCGGGTCTTCGGCAGGGGCTCTCTACTCCACAAGGAGGGAGAAGCTGAGAAGAAGGGAAGCAACTGTGACGCAGTGTCAAGACCCTGGACTCAGAAGCCTAACTCCAAATCTGCACTTTGCTGGTGTGAAAGTCACTTGGCCTCTCTAGCTTCCAAACTGTAACGGAGGGCCCAATCGACCTCCAGAGACAGCTGTCAAGAACAAAAACTAAAACTTTCTGTAAATTATCATGTATCAAACAATAATTAATACAATAATAAGGCACCAGACACTACTTTCTTAAATACTGATTTCAACATATTTGTAAGCATCTTGATGAATGGCAAGAATAGTAGAGTAAATGTCAGGAAGCCCAGAGCTTCCACAAAGAAGCGCCAAATAAACTAGCTGCCTGGAGTGAGTCAAGAGAATGTGAGGACACACCCCTTGCTCCAGTTGTGGTAACTGGTAAGGAAAGGAGTCCAGGTTCTCTCTGTCTTTGGAGTTTAGTTTTATTTTATGCCAGTCACCTCCAGTAAAGTGTAGAGCTTCTCCACTGCCCTTGGCTAGAGGTCTTGAATATCTACCCCCAAGTATTCTCCACCGCACTCTTACTCTAAAAACTCAGGAGGACTTGGAGTGGGTTTTGCAGAGGGCTAGGTCAAGAAAAGAAAAGAACAGTGACCTAGCTGGGCGTCTAGGAGTCTGAGGCCAAGCTTAGCTGTTTCAGAACAAGCAAGGATAGGTGGGTTTTTGTTTCTGAAGGGAGTCAAGGCGAGAAACAGAAAGTGAATCTTGCCCACTGCAACTCATTTTAAAGATCCTGGTCCTGTCTCAGTTCAATGAGAAGACTCACACTCAGACCCAGGCAGAGAGTGAGGGAGCAAGTACCAGCAGAAGCCAGATGTGGAAGCAGCCAGTTGAGATCTGGGACAGACAAAAGGGAACTTTGGGAAGGAATAGGTCAGCCAGAGTTGTGGACTGCCTCTGGTAACTCCCCTCTCACCTCTATGCTGACTGTTGTGGCACAGCTTTTCTTTGTTCATACGTATAATCTCTTTAAGAGGAAACACAGGGAGGATATTTACTACATTAGGGAAAGGAAAAGCTTAAGTATAAAGACACTTTTTTTTTTTCTTGAGACAGGGTCTCTCTGGTTTTAAACAGAGATCAGCCTGCTTTCTGCCTGGGATTAAAGGTGAGCACCACCAGGCCCACCTAAGATCCTTTCTCGACAACCTTGCTACTGTGGTGTCACAAGCTGAAGAGTGGGTCCTTATGTTGTAAGAGAAAACCCTCGGATCACCTTTAGTCCACAATGTACATCTGAGCACTGATGTGGCTGCTATCCCATGGGTAAAGAATTAAAATGACAAGAGAGGATACACATTCTGTACGGTCTCCTAAAACCCCTCAAGCTGGGTGTGGTGGCACACTTGGGAGGTGGAAACAGGAGGGTCAGAGATTCTAGAGAATGAAGTTTGAGGTCAGCTTGGGCTGCGTAAGAGCCTGTTTTTTGTAAAAGAAAAGGAGGAAAGGGAAGGAGAGAGGGAGTGACTAGCTTCAACATAAAAGTCAGATCTTGAAAGGTTTCTGAGCTCTACCTCAGCACACCGCATAAAATTACAGGAAAAAACAAAAACAAAAACAAAACAAGAGTTGGGCCTTTAGTGGTGCACGCCTTTAATCCCAGCACTCGGGAGGCAGAGGCAGGCAGATAGATCTCTGTGAGTTTGAGGCCAGTCTGGTCTACAAGGTGAGATCCACGACAGCCAGAGCTACACAGAGAAACCCTGTCTTGAAAAACAAAACAAAACAAAAACAAAACCAAGAGGAATCAGCACAGAAGGCAGAGGAAGAATCAAACCCACAGAGAAGGTGATTTTTAAGCAAGTGGATTACTTGCTGTCCCCTTTAGGGAAGAATATGACAAAGAAACTGAGAAATACAGAAACTGATACATTAGTTACACAGTTCCCACAGTTACAGCACAGAGCTGGATAAGACAAATACAGTTATTTTTCAGATGCTTCAGAAAATGGAAGGGAAATCATATGCAATGTTGGACACAACAAATGGAATTACAGTTTCTAAGAAACTAAGACAGAGAAAATAGAATTTGGCTAAGACACGGGGCTTAGGGACAGGTGACAGATAGCAAGCAGCCTGGACCCTGAAAACACAGTAAAAGGCTTTCAACTTAGCTGTCAGGCAACTGTTGTGTGCGTGCGTGCGTGCGTGCGTGCGCGCGTGCGCGCGCGTGTGTTTATGTGTGTGTGTGTGTACTGGAATCAACAAAATGATGTATGAGTGGTTCTGGCACGTATAATCTCTTTAAAAGGAAACACAGGGAGAATATTTACTACATTAGGGAAAGAATCTTTGTCATATTCTTCCCTAAAGGAGACAGCAAGTAATCCACTTGCTTACAAACCACCTTCTCTGTGGGTTTGATTCTTCCTCTGCCTTCTGTGCTGATTCCTCTAGAGCAAAGGAATGAGATCCTGGGTCAGCAAAAGTGCTGAATTCTATTTACTCAAGAAGAGAGTAAGTCAACTAATCAACAGAGGGCACCAAACAAAGGATCCTGAAAACACAAGGACAGAGGTGACAAGAAGAGGGGGAAATTGACCACACTGCGTCTTTCAGAAACTGGCATGTTAATGTTAGCAGAAACTGGATCACTCCGGCTGCGGAGAAACAGCTGTGAGTATGCATATGTAATGAGTATATACAATAACACTCAAATGTGATATTATGTTTGGAACCACCTGCTAAATGTCAAGTCTGCACATCTGGCAGGCAGTGTGGTTACTGGAGATGATGGTCAAGTCTAGCACCTATAATCTACAAAGACATCTAATAGCTTTTAGACAATCTGTTTCAATGGTCTGTCCAGGAAATCTGGGACTCTAACAGAATTGATTCATTTGAACTGCAAGCATTTTTGGGAGCTTGTCCACCTGCTTTGGCAGTCATGTTAATAAGCAGAAGAGTGGTCACAGAGGTAGCTAAGGCATTAATAACACCTGAATAATCAATACCTGACTGTGCTGACAGAGTGACTGAACAGTCCCTACTGGCTAATACTCTGGCTCCACATACTGCATCTCATTATTGAATGCACATAATCACCCATTTAAGATGTAAGTAAGCAACTGGGCCTGGTGGTACAGGTGTGCAATTCTAACTGCTCAGGAGGCTCAGGCCCAGGGTCACAGCAGTTCAAGATCTGTGAGGGATGAAAGAATTCAAGGGTGGCATGAGTGACTTAGTGAGACTATACCTCAAAATAAAAATGTGAAAAAGAGGGCTGGGGACGTGGCTGAGTGGTAGAACGCTTATCTATCACGCATGAGGCCCTGGGTTCAATTTGTAGCACTGGGGAAAAAAGGGGGGAATAAAAACAATACAACTGAATTACAACTACAAATATTTTAGGTTACTTGAAAATACTGGCAAATAAAATTAGGAATAATTGGTTACACTGAAAAAAATTATGGTATAAATTTATATAGTATAAATAGATAGTGTACTATATAGTATAGTATACAAAAAGTGTAAGAGGAAGAAATATACATTAAAAATATGTGGCCGGGCAGCGGTGGCGCACGTCTTTAATCAGGAGGTAATGGCAGGCGGATCTCTGAGTTTGAGGCCAGCCTGGTCTACAGAGCAAGTTCCAGGACAGCCAGGGTTACACAGAGAAACCCTGTCAAAAAAAAAAAAAAAAAAAAAAAACCAAAAAAAAAAAAAAAAAGCAAGCAAGAAAAAAAATGTGTAAAGGGACTCTGAAGTAACGAAGACATTACGTGGTACTGTAAGTAACACAACTTTCCTACTATGTAGCAATTAAGAATGAGAACAAAGGGCTATATGCTACACTAGAATTTATTTTCCTGTTTCAACTTTTAAAACTGTGGTTACTAAGAGTAGGAACACAATCATTTTGCATTCTTCCTGCATGATAAGTCTGGATAGATCTTGAAAGAACGAGAGAGAGATTAATAAGTAAAGTCCATGGATCTGCTAATTCCATATGAATATAACAAAATCTATTAAGATTAAAGTTAATAGATAAGCACTCACTAGAACCCCAGGGAATCCCATAGTGATGCTAACAGGTTGTAGAGAGTGTAAGCTAAAGATGAGTCCTTGTCTTTGCCCATACCCCACCCTCCAGGTAATATCAGTGAGAAAAAAATAACAGGGAACAGCAGAATCCTCTTCAAAACAACGTGAAACAAACCAATGCTTGGTTATGGATTCACACCTGAGGGAATGGTGGTCTTCTTCCCCCAGTTCTGGTGGTGAATGTTCCTGGACCCCAAGGCCCTGTATGAGCATCTATACCTGGCAAATGTGGAAATGCCATTAGCCCAGACTGGTGGGCTGGAACAAGTTTGCTTCTCTTGGTACCATTCTCTCCAAGTGATGCAGAACCAACATGCTGGCTACAGACAGACACCAGGGCATACAACTGAGCTGCTGCTAATATGCACACCCAACCTCCATGGGAACTGAGACTGCAGGTCTTCAACTAGGATTCAGCTGTCTCTTGAGCAACAATGAAGACTGGGGTATGTTTTCCCTTCTAACCCAATTGCAGCAGTATACATAAACTTTAACTTGGCTGTTTTAAATGATCTGGAGTTCTACCTTCAGCCATAACAAACATGTACAAGAAAAGCTCACTGCTGATATTTATTTTACTTACCTCTTTGACACTATGTGTTACTGCCCATATTAGAAAAACTCTTGACATCACCTGGAAAGAAGTCAGGACAACAGAAGATGGCACAATTCCTGAAAGAAATTTAGGATGGTAAATTAATGTACTGTACTAAGTTTTATCACATAATATGTTTTCCAAAACTTTCCAATTTAAATGTCTACAGTCAACATTATCTGTAGCAACTGAAATTTACCTATGCTGCTACAGATTAACTCTGGCAATGCCACTAAAACCTTTTTTCCTGCCTCAAAGCAGTAACACTGTTCATGACAACTGAGGAAGCTGGCTACCTTTCTTAAGTCTTCAGAGTCAGTGACCAACTACAGTATTGCTAGTACTTACAGTCCAAACAAAACCACCACCCAACCATTGAACAGACTCTGATGGTTCATTTTCTAATATGGCTTTCATGATGACTAAGCAACTATGCGCAGGAAATCAGTCCTACTTGTGTCTAATGCTGAAAGTTCCTGGCTATCAAACTTGAATATTTGGCCAACAAGCCCAGCAAAATCAAAGTTTATTATTTTAAAATAATTTCTTCTCACCCTGTTCACTGCAAGCATAACTCTAATTATCCTACCAATGCACTCAGTTTATAACATGAGAACATCTTTATTTTACATAACCATCAAATTCTGCTAAACTTATACTTCTTTCGCTTCAAATGCTAGAACCATGACCCCTATGTAGACACAAGCCACATGTAGCATTCTTGCCTCCTTAAACCCCCAAACACCATCATCTGGAAACAGTCTTTTCTCTTTGTGACTTTAAACTAGCATAGAACTGTTCTAAAACAAGATTTGGAAGCCAGCAGCCCTTCTAATTCCCTCTGAAATCACTACTGCCAAGGCCTATTCTTACTTGCTAGACCCCTGAGGTTGAACATGGGAAATTCTGCACCTGCCAGAAGCCTTCATCCCAGCCAGTGTCTGCCTAACTTTAAAACCAACCTTATCTTCAGCACAGTCAGTGGACCATCTCTATCTTGCACCATTTCTATTCTTCTGCACACTCACTGGCTATCCTGCACCATTTCAATTCTTCAAGCTCCCTAAAATACAGTCTTCTGAACATTTATATAGCAGGACAAATAACAACTTGCCAAAGACCAGGTACGAGTCAGATGGAGCTACAATTGTCACCACAGGCTTGGCTACAACAGGAAATCACTTTGCATCTATTTAAGGGATGTTATATCATGCTAAACAATGCATTTTAAAAAAGAATCATAGGCTTTGAAGAGGTATAGTTTGGTTCCTCAAAGCAAATATCATGGGAATGTCAAACACAATGTTTGGCATATAGAGACATGTAGAATGAATGAAAGAAAATACAAATGCAGAGATAGGTAAATGGAATGAATACATATTGAGTCCAGACAAGAACCTTTATAGTCAGGTGATTTTCAATAAGCATATAAGACAGTTCCATAGAAAAAGGACTTCATTTTCAACAACTGGTGCAATTGAGTATTCACAGGTGAAAACAAAGGATTTATATATAAAACCTGCCTCGGGAACTTAGGGGATGGCATAATGGTTAAGAATGCGTCCTGCTCTTCCAGTTAGATTCTTAGCTCCCATGTTGGGTGGGTTGTCCAGTAAGTTCAGCTCTAGGGAACCTGCTATCTCTTCTGACCTCCTTGGGCACCCGCACACATGTAGCAGAAGCACACTGACACATACAGTATTTAAAAAAACTAAGAAAGAAATTAACTCAAGGCTGAAGTGCAACTGAGTGTCAGAGCATTTGCCTAGCAAGGCCCTGGGTTTGAGTCCTAGCCATGTATGTGCAAATGAACACAGACACAAATATATCCACACACACACACACACACACACATGGGGGGGTATCAAAACCTTCAGGGCTGAAACCCTAAAACTCAGTAGAAAAAAGAAAACAGGTAAAAACCTTGAAGGTTTGAGTCATGTAATAGTTTATGCGATACGACACTAAGGAAAAAAAATATATAATTGGCTCATAAAACCCAAAAGCTTGTGTGCTTCAAAGGATACTTAAAAGGAAGTGAACACAGCTGTGCTCCAGTTTGGACATGAGCCTTGATGCCTAATGTAACAATGTTCAGAGATGAGCTAAAAGTGCCAGAGTGACCTCATCAATGGGCTAATCCACTGAAGGGTTCCTTGACAGGTGAAAGACCTCAGGAGGTAGGGCCTAACTGAAGGATACAGGTCATTGGGGCATGCCTTGAGAGGGCATGGACTGTCTCTGGATCTCGTCTTGCTTTTGTGTTTTTCGTGCATCCTCCATCATCAGAGAAGCAGTTCCTTTGTCCCATGCTACTTCTGCCGTGACGCTGCTTCACAGCCCCACAGTAATGCAGCCAAATGACCACGGAATGAAAGGGTAAGCCAGAACAGCCCTTCAATCACCGTGAGGGAACTCTAGCACACCACAGACAGGAAAAGATCTGTAATCTTATCTGACATAGGAGAAACTGTATAATTCCATAATGAAAAACAACTAAATTAAAAAAAATATTTGAGGAATGTGAAAAGACACTGCACATCATTAGTCATCAGGAGACACAAATCAAAATCAAATGAGATTTACTCCACACCAGCTAGCACAGCATATCTGTTTGGACTGTGAAATGGTACAGTCACTCTGGACAGTTGTCAGTGCCTCAAAGTATTAAACACTGAGTCACATCACACCTATACAGGCGTACGCATGAGCGTGCATGCACACACACACAATTTATGTTTCCACAAAAATTTGTTTGTGTATGTACATAGTGGTATATATGAACCAAGAAGTAGGGGTAAGTGTCTATTAACAGATGAATGGTAAACAAAATGTGGTATACACTCTTAAAAACAAAGAATAATACAAATACAGGGCTAGAGAGATGGCTCAGAAATTAAAAGCCTGGTTGTTCTTCTAGAGGACCCAGGTTCCATTCCTAGAACCCATATGTCTGCTCACAGCTGTCTGTAACTCCAGTTCCAGGAGATCTGATACCCTCTTCTGGTTTCTGTGGGCACCAGGGATGCAAGTGATACACAGACATGCAGGCAAACAAAACATCCACACACATAAAGTAAATTAATAAAAATTTAAAAAAGAATAAAAATAAAGAGACATACATGTTTGAAATTCTCAAAGAATTAAAAATACATTAAAAATGAAACAAATTAAAAAGAAATGAAGTACTGATATATGCCACAATATTGATGAGTCTTCAAGATACTAACTATACTGAATTATAAGAAGTCAATGATAAAAGGCCACACAAATTTGTATGATAGAAAGAAGATCTGTGGTTACCTAGGGCTGGAGTTTTGGGGGAAATAGGAAGTGACTGTTAATGGATTTCCTTTTGGGGTAACGAAAATGTTCTAAAATTGACTGTGGTAATGGTTGCACAACTCATTATGCACTCTAAATGGGTGGATTATATCTGAATAAAGAGATGTTATTAAAAATAAATATGAGTGAAGTGCAAAGCCTGGTTACATAATTATGTAACACAGCTAAAGCAGCTAATTAGCGAATCAAACATTTAGATAATACCTCGAGTAAGTTTTACAAAAGAGCTGGAGAATTAGATTTTTATGAGCAGCAAGCATTTGTTTTTTAAGGTGAACGTTTCTAGCTGCTGCTGCTTCCTCCTGCTCTTACTCAAAGACCAGCTCATTACATAAAACTATGGCTTTGCCCTTAATTTTTGTCTGCCTTCCTTGGCCACTAAACAGTGTGCGGTGCCGCTGGGCTGCTGGTGTTTCTCGCAATGCTCCAGGATACTGTTGTGTCTTGGTGAGGTCCAGAGTCTGGACTTCAGAGTTGTAAGCTCAAAACTGATTCTATCTCATTCGCCAGCAAGAATCAAGTGCTGGGAAACTGACTTATAATAATCAAACCATGCAAGATGCCATAATAATCCAAATAGTTATTTATTCATCTGTAATAGTGGCACAGCTTTCTAATAAACAAGTAACAAGGATTGTAGAGATCCTTATCTGTGGCCAAAATTAGAATGCTTAGAAGTGTGACTTTGAATAGACTTTAGAGAGTCTGGAAGAAAGTGCAACTAAACTGAACATTGGAATCCCCCCCTCCCCACCGCAACGATGGAACCTGGGGCCTTGTGCAGGCTAGGCAGGCATTCTACCACCAAGGTACATCTCACACTCACAAGGGATTCTTTTAATTTATATTGTGAGATTTGTATTTAATGTGTATGAACATTTTGCATTCAGCTCTTTCGTAGAACATCAGGTGTTTTAGAAAGGCAAAGTAACACGCTTCACAGAGTTAAACAAATGCAACATAAACAAATGCAACACAACTTTGCATCATTAAACAAATGTTCCATTGTTGCACGATTCCTAAATGGTCTTATAATAAAAACCTGGAGCCAGATATCAGGGTAAAAGCTTAAAGATAAGAGAAGCAGAGCAGGCCACAGCTACCACCTCTTACCTCACCAACTCCTCATCCTAACAGAGCCTCTGCAAGTGAGCAAATTCCTGTCTCCTCCCGCCTTCTATTTCTTTCTCTGCCTAGCCATATCACTTCCTGTCTCAACCTTCCTGGTGCTGGGATTAAAGGTATGTGATCCCAAGTGCTGGAATTAAAGGTACGTGCCAACACTGCCTGGCTATTTCTCTTTTAGACTGGATTAATCTCATGTAGCCCAGTGTGGCCTTGAATTCTCAGAAATCTGGACAAATCTCTGCCTCTGCTCCCAAGTGCTAGGATTAAAGGTGTGTGCCACCACTGCCTGACCTCTGTGGCTAACTCTGTGGCTGGCTCTGTCCCCTGATCTTCAGGCAAGCTTTATTTCTTAGATTACAAATACATCACCACATTCCATAGCACAAACAAATGTAACACATCTTAAAAAAAAATTCTATAACAGAACATGACTTAAATTTCAAAATTAAAAGTAATATTCTTAACGAAATTTAAACATTTAGCACTAACAAAAAGATAATTCTGAATTTAAATCAATTCTAATCTTAACACAGAAATTTTCTTCAATACTTTCTCTTAGCATGCAAGTTAATGTCAGTGAAAGAGAAAAATATTTCTGGTGGAA